GTATGCGGGCCTCTCACTGCTGTGGCCTCTCCTGCCGCGGAGCACAGGCCCCAGACGCACAGGCTCAGGGGCCATGGCTCACAGGCCCAGCCGCTCCGCGGCATGTGGGATCTTCCCGAACCAGGACACGAACCTGTGTCCCCTGCATCGGCAGGCGGACTCTCAACCACTGCGCCACCAGGGAAGCCTGGAAGGCGGATTCTTAACCACTGGACCACCAGGGAAGTTCCCATAGTTCTCTTGAATGCATCATTCTCACTAGTAATTTTAACTTTGCTCTACTATTCCCCTTCTCTAAAATACCCTACCCCATCCTGTCTGAAGCCTTAAATCTTTAAGGCCCAGATCCAATTCTTACTCTCTTTAACACACATTCATTTTTAACCTTTGCACCCTTATGTTCCCAAAAGCTTAGGTTTATCAGATAAATTGGTTATTTTATTAAATCAATTGGAATTTGTGTAGTTTTGTTACAACCCACGTACATGAATTTTTAATTTACTATGGAATACAGAGGATATAATGAATATATTTTATGTCTCACGAAGAGTGAAATGCTACCAATGAAACTATGACACGATTGCAAGACACATCCGAATTTTAGATATGGTAAAAGGTGCATCTGTGAAACACAGTATAAGGAATACCATTTATTCACCACCCAGTCTAAAAAATAAAGCCAGTACAGTTGAAGTCCCTTGTGTACCCCTTCCCCATCTTACACACTGACCATCCTGAATTTGGTTTTTATCATTTGGTTCTTTTATACTTTTAGTAAATATGTATGTGACCCTAAGCAACATCTAATATTATAGTCTTTTTTTATATCACTCTTTCAGTTAAGCTTTCTAATGATTATTTTTGAATAGGACTTCTAAAGACCTAGAAGAATATAAATTCTTAGAATTCTTTGTTTTAAACAAGTTTTGGGGGCAGAATGTTTCCAAGTTACTTATCCATCCATTACTTAATAAAATAAATTTTGAGACTTCGACTATGAAATGTCAGCTCAAATTTCTTCTGTGTTTCCTTCCTTCTGTTTTCTAATTCTATATTTGCTGTCTTTGAGGAGGTCACAGAACTACTCACGTTCTCCCAATGATCCCTCTGCAAGTCGTTGGCTTTTGAAGAGATGATACATAGCTGGTGCTAGTTGCGTACTGATAAGCCCCTACCCACACTGCATGTACAGTGTGCCTGTGGGACTGTTAGGGCTTTCTGGGCAGAGGAACAGGTGTTTATGATGGCCCTCTGGGAAAATATTCTAACTGACATAATGCTTTATCTTCATCAGTAGTTATAGTCAGGTGAACTGTGTAGCTGTAAAAATCAAGCTTGCTGTCTTAAATATGTCATTCTCACACTATGTTGAAACTCAGCTGAGAAGGAAAAAAGCCTCCATCGAGCTGCTAAAGTATATCAAATGAGCACATTTGGGGCCTT